TATAAGCCATACAGGTAATAATCAAATTCTTATTTTTGCAAGTGATAATCCATCCCAACAAAATACAAGTAATAATCAATCCTATTATCATTCTGTTAATTATGTTTTAAACTCACATATTTCTTCCTCTATAACACCTAGATAAGAAGAAATAAAAATGTTATATTTTATAAATAATTTTAGATTATCTGCACCTGACACAATTTTATTCTCTAACCAAGATAGATATTACACTTTTGTGAAAGGTGCCTTTTGATTTCAAGACTATAAACCGTATAGTCTACATATATTGCTTGACACGGGAGCAACAATCTTAAGTTGTCGTAACAATGCTTTACCCATAAACAAATGGCAACCAATGAAGCATTCTATCATCATAGTAGGTATCGATGATAAGGGAACTATTGTTGGTTATAAACTAAAAAATATTCCTATTTATCTCAATAATGTTAGATTCATAATACCAAAAATATTATGTTTTCCTAACATGCATGGAGATATACTATTAGAAAATAATTTTTTACGTACTTATGTTCCATTTTCTATTTCTAATTCTCATGTCACTCTTACAATTGATAAAACATCAGTTGAAATTCCTTTATTACAATAGTATAAGCATATTTGTGATAAAAACTTTCAACCAGAAAGATTAACAAATGCTATAAATACAATCAATGAAAAACATTGGCTTTATAATATTTTACAGAACAATTTCAGTGAACAACCATTGAAGCTATGGCAAAGAAGTCCACAATATTGTGAACTCACTCTTCACAATCCAAAAGAAATAATAAGAGTAAAGCCCATGATCTATACCAAGCAAGATATAGATGAATTCGAGATCCAAATCTCATAATTATTAGACAAAGGTCTGATAAAATCAACTACTAATCCACATTCAAGCCCAGCATTCATGGTAAAAAATCATTCAGAGATAAAATGAGGTAAACCCAACATGGTTATCAATTATAAGTGATTAAATCAAAATCTTGTCTTTGATGGCTATTTTATTCCTTGTAAAGATGTCTTGACAAATTTAGCAAAAAATACTAAATATTTTTTTAAATTTGACTGTAAATCTTATTTTTGGCAAATAATGCTTAAACCTAAATCTAAACCTTTAACTATTTTTAGTCCACCAACAGGCCATTACCAATGCACTATTATGCCTTTTGGTCTATGCAATGCATCATAAAATTTTCAGCAATGGATGGACACTATTTCAGTAAACATAAATAATTTTATTGTGTATATATTGATGACATCCTTATTTTCCTCTACATTAGATAAGCACAGGAAACACTTGAATATTATTACTCAAGAATTTATTTTACATGGCTAAAACAAGATATTGATTTCTTTATTTTGGAAGAAAATAAATACAGTGTTCAAAAAATAAACAATTTCTTAGATTTATGTGAATATTTTAAAAATTATAATTCTCCTCAGCTAAACAAGTTTAAGAGAATTCTTTTGTTTGAAAAGCTACAGTCTTCCTAACCAAGGAACTGTTTCAACAAATAAATCTTTCAATAACTCAGACAACAAAAAAACTGTTGATCAAAAAATTATTTGAACATTATTATTCTTTATATGTTCATATTGCTACCATTATGGATCATATTCCAAAAATTAAATTTTGTTTAAATCATGAACCTTTTGATGTAATCAACATCGACCCTGGAATAGTTGGTCAAATCTTTATACAAAACTTATCATTTGATTTGATTAAAGATTTTTTAGCCTTTATAAAACATCATTTTCATAAAGTTTGTAAACAACAGCCATTATTTATTTTATATATATTTCTCCATTACCAGTCTTCTTGGTTGTTACCAGCGAGAAAGATTTTTTCAACCCTATCAAATTTGAAAAATGAAAAAAGTCCTTTCTGGCCCTATGTTAAACCCAACAACAGAAGCCTTAGAGATTCCTGAAACACTAAACAAGATTGTTTCAAAATATTCAAAACTAGCACAATATTTTTAGAAAAAATAGAAGCCTGAAAAAACTAATAAAAATACCAAGCCTAAAAAAGGTAAATTTATTATTAAAAGAAAGAAACAAATTTCTAAAAAAACTTGTAGCTGTTTTATTTGTGATCAAGAAGGTCACTATGCTAATAGCTACCCTAACAAAGGGAAAAGTGCTAAAAAAATTATTAAAAAACTTGAAGAATGTTATCTTCAAATTTTTTTTACAAATGAATTATCAGATGATGAAATATATTATGGAGTTTTTTTTTTTAAACTGATTATAGCTCCTCTGATGATGAATCTGAATATATTTCTATGTTAAATACAGAGTCTAACCAAGATAATGTTTCAGTTACTTCTTTTACAGGTACAACAACCACAGTTAAAGAAGGTATGGTTAAACTAAAAAGTGTGATGCGAAAAACTCATCATATTTCTGATGAAAAACTCAAAGAATTACAACTCATCCAACCAGATGAGATATATAAAACAAGTTGGTTTAAAATGTTTTCTTTGAATAGGTTGTTTATTATAACCAAATTCTAAATCATTTTCTAAAATCTTAGTATACTGTTTGTAACTAAGTTTACATTTTACCTGTTTGACAACTTTTTGCATGAGACAATGCTTTGTAATCTGACTTTGCACGTAGTGTATTCTATAGCCAAGAGTATCGTATAGTTCTATGCTAGGATTTGCAGCATTAACAAATGTAATTTTGATTTCTAAATAAGTATTATAATTTTGAGAACAAAGCTCATCCCATGGTGAGGGAAGTTTTAAGAAAATTTGTTGTAACCAAAATTTTAAATGTTCTTCATCCAATTTTTTATATTTAAAAATATATCTTTTACAAAAATTATCAAGATTTCTAATATTGCATAGTTTTAATTTTAAAAGGAAAAATTGAGCTTCTTGATTGGGATCCAGTAATTTTGTACTTTCACAAAACTTATTTTTCAAAATTTGAGTTAAATCTTTTCATAATTGAGGTATATTACCTGTTGCAAGAAGTGAGCTTTTTTTAGTATTTCCTATAGTGGTTTTTTTTTCATTTTTTGAAAAATTGAAAGACATCACCTTACCATGTGCCACAAAAGTAATTAAGAAATCTTTCTTTGTTCTACTGATCTTTGTAGTTTGTGACAACAATAGACATAAATTATGCCTAATCTTTTATTATTTTTTCATAGTTTTTGATAGGAACATGGGTTAGATTTAAATATGTACCACCTTGTCCAACCGTTTGTTTGTTTAACGAATCGATTATAGGGACTTCTTATTTAATCTGACTGATTTGACCAGATTCTGAAGCTTGTTTTATCTCATCTTTTTTTAGGTGAGATTTATGTTGAGCTAATTCTTCAAGAGAATGTAAATAGTTAGGAAAACGAAGAAAATCATCCATATCTGGATTAAATATTTCTGATGCGTTTCTTTTTCCTATATTCTCTAGTTGAAGAATAGGGTTTTGAAGTGCTGGATCTGATTGATCTTCAAAACTAGATGAATCATCCGATGTGATTTCATCTGATGAAATTGACTCATTCTTTACTATTAGATTAGTAGCAAGAATTTCAAAATTATCTTCTACCATATCATTATTTGCTTCTTTACTACTAACACTGGTTGTGTCATAATTAAGCATGTAATGATACTTATATTTTTGAAAAAATCTTTTATATTCCTCATAAAGGGTTTCAATAGCTTAAAGATAATCGACCCGTTATTTCGAATCTTCAATTTTTTTCATTTTATACTTAAAGTTTTCAATTAAATATTTATAAGAGTTAAAATCAAGTTTTTCTTGTTTCATCTTTGCTGAGAAAGATGAAAGGTTGTCATTAGCCATCATAATATTATCATAATAAAGAGGTCCAAAGTCTGTAGATGTATTTGAGGGAACATGTCTTTGATCTATCTTTTCTGCAAGTAGATCTATTTTTTCTTTTATATTATCCATTTTTACAAACAACTTAGTGAAAAAAGATGAAAAAAGATCAATTAACTCATTTACAGCTCTACTAATAGATATATTATTAGATTCAAACTTAAGATCTATATGCAAACTATGATTATAAACTTTATCTTTACAAATACAATTATTTTTTAAAGTTGATTTCATATTTTTTGTGCTTAAAACTGGTGTGATTTTGTATGGGTTACCAAAGGCCAGTTAACAACAAGGCATACAAAGCCTAACAATTACCAGCAAATAATCACAGATTCACGATATGAGCTTTAAAACATGAAATAACAACACAAAACAAGAGTAGATAAAAGATTTTGTTTATAAAAATAAGATTACAAGATAGATCTATAAGCTGAAATAGTACAAATCTTTTTACAAACCTAGAGTTTTGATACCATTTACAAGAGGGTGCAGAAAGGATCTATGTATAAAGGTTTAAAAAGAGACACGAAATATCTAATTTAGGTTATTTTATATTAAGTGGAGAAAAGTAGGTAAGAGAATATGGAGATGAGAGAGAGACGATGGAGAGAAAGAATGAGTAAATGGGAATGACTGAAATCATATGTATAACATAATTGACAACTTGCTTTTTCATTACTAAGTAAGTATATAAAAATGTGGTGGCAAAAAAAGAGAGCAATTACCACAATGATTGGCTTTGTAACTACAACTACAATTGCAACAATATAGATAGTTGAGCTATATGTGGATTTTGAGCTCCTAATTCATTTATAACCCACGTGTTGCATTAGCAGAGGCATGTCTTCAATTATACTCATAAAAAAATAGTGCATTTTAAAGAAAAAAATTTTTATTGCTAATACGTATACAGAATTTTATAGAAGGAAAAGTTATGCAATCAATTAAACCTTGTAGCAACACCACTAATCCTATATGGTATGAAGAAATTTAATGAAGTAATTGTAAGTAAGGCTTCTCATTGTAAAATTCAAGAGACATAATTAGTGGCATTCTTTTTGAAAAACTTGAAAAAAAACTGAATCGAAATTCAAAGTTTAAAACACAAAATTATTGGTTTAAAAGCTTACCATACAGACAAAATTGATGTCTCAAGCATTCCATTTGGTAAAAGTCCTCACAGCAGTATAAGCAGCTCGAATGACCACCATTCAAGGCTATAATTAACAAATTGAAAGAGAATATTATTGAAAAAACAAAAAATTCTAAACCAAAGAAAGATGAAATTAAAGCAAGCAAAAAATACCTCTAAAAAAAATCAATTTTAGAACCTAAATTAAAAATGTACAAAAACCAAAGCTAGAATATTTACTTTAAATCTTTGTATAAATTGGAAATAATGAAGTTGAGTCATGCTCTAAAGGTTGTGAACCAAGAATTCAATCATTACACTTGGCAAAAGTTCTTAAAAAACATACATCCAACATCACATTAGGCAAAACACAAATGCAGAATTAGAACAAACTTGACATACAAAAGCTTTATGAAGGTGGAAATTAAGAATAATAATAAAACCCAAAAAGGAGCAAAGTTTGTGGATGGAGAGAGAAGAAATAGAAGACAAACCTGTAATACAATTAAATCTAAAAAAAAATCAAATTGTACAATCAAATTGAATGGGATATACTGATGATTGAGTAAATTTAAACAAACACCTGCACCAATAGAAAAAGAAAAATTAAAATGACATTAAAAAAATGATCAAGTTTTATTAAGAAGAAAAAATAAAATGAAACAATTTTTAAAATAAGACATAGGAATAGATTTGATAAATTTTCAATCTTTATATCCGAAGTCATTATAACTAGAAACAGCCATGACTTGATCAGATCTAACCAATTTTTCCATAAAAACTTTTAAAATATTTCAAAATTAAAAAAAAAATAATAATAATAATTTCAAATCACATATGTTCAAAACATTACTCCATCATAACAGCTTTATTACTCCTAAACGAAAACTAAACCCATTCTTTCTTTTTTTACATCATAAACTACCCGAATAATTGAGTAAAGATCCAAAATTTAGACTTGAGTTTTTGAATTCCACTCAAGTTTACTCAATTTCAACTAATGGTTTTTTTCTTTTTCACTTAGAAAAAAAAAGCATTAAATTGCAGTAATTGGAACTAAAATTCACGCTAGAAAACAACTCATTACAAAATATAATTCAAATATATAGGAGAATGTGATTGGAAAGACATTACAAAGACCGAGAAATACTTTCAAATTCAAAAGATGAAATTCAGGAATGGCTTGAGTTACACATTGCATATTTCCTCCAAAGGAAATTCAAATCCCCATTGCATATTTTCAAATTCAAAAGATGAATTACACAAGATGAAATCGAAATATATTTAAAAATGATTCAAATTCAAAAGATGCCTGAATTGCATATTTTCTATCACGTCGAATTCCAATTCTTGATTCCTTGAAAATTAGATTCTCCAATCCCCATTGCCTACAAATCATATGAATGAATAACATGGAAACTTTTTATAATTTTTACAACTTTGAACAGGTTGCAATTGAACCAAATGTGCAAATGGGTTTCATTTCTTTTCACATTAACCAAATGAAAAAATTATTATTAATTATTATTATATAACAACAAAATGAAAAAAAAATTATCATTTATGGATCACAGTACCTAAAGCGAACATAATAAGTAAAAGCAAAAAAAAAAAAAAAAAGACATTAAAAGCAAAAACGAATCAAAAAAAGAAAAGAAAAAACTGAAATGTAGACAACGAAAAGTTTCTTATGAGTTTTAGCTTCAAGAATTGCTTCGGGAATTGAGCCTTTGTATGTAAGAGATGACAGAGATTAAAATTTTTCCATCTGTTCTACACAATTAAATTTCAAAACTTCATATTCATATTTAAATATATTTCAATTTCATCTTTCTCATGCTTCCCTTTTTCTTTTGTTTTCTCACTTGGACTGTCTCAAATTTTCAATTATACAAATTTATAAGAACATTTGTAAGAAAATATCACTCCAAAAATAAATTGAACTATTTATAATTTTAAAAACCCTAAAAAATAAACATCCTATTGCCAAAAAACCTAAATTAATATAAAAATATTGGGAGAAACCAAAAAATAAAATATTTAAAGCTCAATGATTTTCGATCGAATCAAAGCCAAAGATTAATCAAAATCAAAAGAAAAAAAAAAGGCATGATACCTTGGGAAAAAGAAATGGTATTTTTTCGAAGAAATCTGAAGAAAGAGAAAGATAGAGAGAGATATCCACAGTCGTTGAGTGCACATTAAAACTTCTCCGATAACCTGCTTCCTTTGTTTCAGGGCAAGAGAAAGAGAGATATATTAAGCAAAGGAAAGCAAAGAAATAGAGACTGTAAAGATTGGGAGAGGGATTGAGTACCGGTAGAGGCCTTTCGGGTTTGGGATCTTCAGAAAAGGAGAAAACATCGTAAGAAATCAAAGCCATAAAATTAGAGATCGAGTAGCCTCAGGATCCTTCATAATCCTTTTTACATATGGTGGTTTATTTCCTTCACCGACGAAATTTTGAGACTGTTATCCCTTCCTAACTTAGATGGGACCCACTCTCCCACTTGTGTGTGCTTTTTATAGACGTGTAATAGTTTAGTTACATTTTTTTAACTATGATTAGTGCCAAAGCCCAAAGCTGTTAAATCAAAGGTTTAACTCTGTAGAATAATAATCAATGTTTTAACTTAGTACCACGATTAATAAGGTGTTAAATCAAATTCAATCAATTTTACTTTATATGATATCAGCCACGTGGAAAACAAAATACATATAACGTGGGACAGCTTTGTCCTTTTCTCCAAAGTGGCATTCTTGAAGCGTGACGTGGAAATTTCTTTCGGCTAAAAGTAACTTTTTAGGACCTAATTTTTATACAAAATCTAATTTTAATACCACATTTTTTATTTGTACTAATTAAATATTTTAATATTCTTCCAATTTAGGATTTTATATTTTATTTTAATATTTTTAGAAGTTATATTTTGTTGGACAAATAAGTTTTTGTTTGATAACAAAGTCTCGTTATTTTGGATTTTTTTTTTTTGTAATTTTTCTTTCTCCAACCAACTTTTAGATAGCTTTGATGCAAAAGTTATACTAGTGATATAAAATTTGAGGGTTATAATTCCAATTAAACTATGGCACTCATTATAAAAGTTTGCATCAAAAGTGTATATGAATTTAGTTGAGTCGAATTCAATTGATATGATATTAATATTTAATATATTTGTTCATGTTTGGTTTTATCGTAACGATTTTGGAGCCGTTCGACGAATTTGAAAACGAAAATAAAACAATGAAAAATAGAATCGCCATCAATCTTTTTTTATTAGATGTGATTGGTTACCTATTAAAATATATCATTTTAATGAAATTTCAAAATTAATTAAAATTTATTAAAAAGATAATTTTAAGATTTGCGTAATAGTTTGGGTTTGAGAGTCGGTTACGCGTGAGAAAGGATTAGCACCCCCACAGCGCTCATTTAAAACGGTACAAATTAACTACGTGTTATCCTTTAATTTTAATAAAAAAATAGTCTCATTTTCGGTATTTGAAAAAAATAACTTTATTCATTTTTTTATTTATTAGAAATTATTTTTTTATTTAATATTTATTGTTCAAATTTATTCGAGAAAAATAAATTTTAGCCTTTTTTATTGAAATAATTCTTAAAATGTTTCAGTACGTTAGTAACATTAAAAGAACTCTTTCTCACCTAAAAAATTTTTTAGGCATCGCTTCTTGGAATACCTTAGAATTTCATCTTCGGAAACTCAAATTTATTTTTTTACAAAAAAAAAAAAACTATGCCATTTATGTAATGCAAATGATAATATGTTAATGCACATATTTTACTTTTTATTTAGAAATTTCATTAATTTTTATCAATCTTTTCATTTAAAATATGGAAGAAAAGAAGAATTTTTATTATATTTAAGATTTTCTATAAATATTCCAATACACTGATAATATTTAAAGAAAATCTTTTCACCTAAGGATTTTTTAAAGCATCTCTACTCGAAATACTTTTAGAATCCTATCATTGGATAAAATTTCTTTTTTCTTTATTTTTTATTAATTTGGTATTATTATTAAGTTTATTTTTTATTTTTAAAGTTTATTTTAAAAATTAACAAAATTATAAAAAAATTTAACCACATATTTTATCATTTAATCTAACAAATATAAATATTTTAATATGCATAAATATTAATAAAATAATATATATAAAATAAAAAAATTAAAAAAAAATTTTTTTTACCTGAACCGGTGCTTCGGTCTGGCGTCAGCGGTGCGAGGCAATCCAGTTTGATCTAAGATGGATCGGTCAGAGGCTAAAAGAGAAACAGGTCGTTGGATCAGGTGCGCAGACCCCGAGTTTGGTCACAAGTTGAGGCGCAGATCTTCAGGGTTCAAAACGACGTTGTTTTGGTCTTTATTGAAATGACGTTGTTTTGGTTTTCACCGTTTATATAAAAGGTTCAAATTTTTTTCAGTCATTCTCTTTTCCTCCCAAAAAAAATCCTCTTTTTTTTTCTTCAGCCAAACGCAAATGGTCGGCCAGTCGCCGTCACTGCCACCGTTGTCGTCGTTGAAAAATTTCAAAAAAACACCCACAAACTTCTCTCGATCCTCTAAACACAAATCCGACCTTCTTTTCACCAAAAAGAATCCTCAATTCCCTAGATCTACTCTTGAAGTTTCAGTGAAATCATGTTTTTTGGGTATTCTGACTTTTTTATTTTTTTTGAAACTGACTTTGTTTTTTTTTTCTTTGTGCAAGGGCTCTCGGCGCTGGGTTCCTCCCTGCGGGAAGGACTGAGCTTTTTTTTTTTTTTGCATCTTTTTTGTAGAATGTATTTTTTTTCACAGGGTTCTCTTCTTCATTCCTTTTCTTTGGGTTCGATTAGAAGCTCTATTTATAGAGCTCCGATCGTGCGTGACACAAGGCTCGGCATGGGGTGCAAACACGAGTCTCATGCCTTTTTTATTATTTTTGTCTGATCTAATAGTGATAAGGCTAGGAGCCAACGGGATGGGTGATCAGAGTATGGGTGGTAGGGTAAGGTATGGTGGGTAGGGCATGGTGGCAGTGGTGCCGAGGAAAGCACCACTACCATCTCTCATTTTTTTTGTTTTATTTTTTTATATATTTTTTGTATTTTTGTTTAATTTTTATTATTGTATTTAATAATATTATTATTATTTTATTTATTATTTTTTTTGTGACCGGATAAATTTGATGTCCACAATTATCGCTCTTTGCACAGTGCTGATAATCAGTAATATGGCAAGGAAAAAGACAACAATTTTGTCCAAAATCCAAATGGATTTTTCTCATTTTTTTTTCTTTTTTTTTTGAACATAGACTACTCAAAAAGTTTTTCTCGTCAAATCGAAAATGCTCCTCTCACTTGAGGCTCGACAACTTTTAAAAATTTAAAATCTAAAAAAGACTCCTCTCAGCAAAGGCTCAACAACTTTAAAAATTTCATCTTGAAAAGGGCTTCTTTTGGTAGAGGTTCAATAACTTTAAAAATCTCAACTTAAAAAAGGTTCCTCTCAGCAGAGTCTCAACAACTTTAAAATTTAAAATTTGAAATAGGCTCCTCTCAGCAGACTCAACAACTTTAAAATTTCATCTCGAAAAAAGCTCCTCTCAATAGAGGCTCAACAACTTAAAAATTCTCTTGAAAAAGCTCCTCTCAACAAAGGCTCAATAACTTTAAAAAATTCATCTTCGAAAAGCTACAAATTGAGTTCTCATCTTTGAACGAGTAAATTTCTTTCTTTTGAAATCTTTTGTTTAATTAGGAAATGGAAAGTCTCTGTCCTTATTATTCATGGATACATGTACTAAGTGCTCTAAATGTAATGCAGATAATGCAATCAAAATTATTCATTGTGGTAAAAGGTTTTTGAAATCTCTCACTTTTTACTTCTTTTATCAGAATTCTTAATAATTACCATATGATCAATCTGTTCTTAACATCTGACCATTAAATTCTTCCCTACCAATACTTTTCTTCAAAAGTCTACAACATCAATGTCTTGTCATGCTTTTCTCTTTCTTTTTCATTTGCCTTTGTCAACTTTTAAAAAGTAATGCTAAGATCTTTCATGCTTATTTTTCTTTTCATTATTTTAAGTCCAAGACCAATAAAATGCAATCACACATTTCTTCTATTCGTATAACAAACAAAAAAATGAGAATAAAGGAATGGATAGGTGTTATTTCCAAAGGAAAGATAACATATTTTATTAGACTGGTAACAAGTGCATGACAAAGTATTTGAGTTGAAACAAAGGTGCCCAAATAATGATCATAAGATAAGCATGAACAAAATATTCCCAGATTCTTTTTCTAAAACTAAATTAGATAACTTCCTTGATCCTTCAGAGTTCATCAAACTACACTTGCCCATATATTATGGAATGATGCTTTTTCTTCGCATCCAAGCCGTTTTTTCAGGTTTTCAACTTAGATGAGTTATTATTTTTCATTTTTTACTTTTTTCATATTTTTCTCTTTTTTCTTTCAAGCAAAATATTTTTTCACAACATCTGATTTATCGAAGTAAGTAAATCACTTCCGTCCATCTTTGTCAAAATCAATGTCCCAATAGAAAAGACCTTTTTCATCACATACGGGCCTTCTCAATTTGGTGTCTATTTTTTTTTATTATCATGTTGATTTGAAAGGATTTTTTTCATCACTAAATCTTCTTCCCTAAAGCAACAGGGATGGATTTTCTTATCATATGCGCTCATTATCCTCTTTTGATATAATTGACCATGACAAAGTGCTGTAAGTCTTTTCTCTTCAATGAGGTTCAATTGCTCGTAACGATTTCGAACCTATTCTATTTTTTCTAATTCTACCTCTATCAGGACTCTCAGCGAGAGAATTTCCACTTTGACCATTTGGCAATCAATAGTATCCAAGCCTCATAATTTGTTTAGCCATCATATGACCATTTGTATATGCCCCACAAACTTCATCATGCACTTCTTTAATAATCCTCTTCATTTCAGCTGCATTCAAACACTTTAAGAGTACTTGATCTCGATCCCTTTTATAGAGGACATCTCTATTAAGAAAAAAACTCATAGCCAACCTTTTAATAGTTTCTTATCTTTTTCTGTTATATGTTCTGGGTATTGCTAGCTTTTAATGTATTGCATGATGTCATGATACTATGGCTTCCCATCAACTTCTTTTTCAACACCTAAACAATGTGCTGGTTCATCTTTCACATCCAACTTGATGGGTTGGATTTTGATATTTACATCTATTTTAATCATTGCAGCTAGAGTAGCTAATACATCAACAATTTAGTTTTTCTCTCCAGGTAAATGCTCAAATTGAACTTCTTCGAATTGTTTGACTAATTGAAAGATGTACTTACGGTACCGTATCAATTTGGAATCTCTAGTTTTTTATTCTCCTTGCAACTGATAGATGACTAGAGAAGAATCTTCAAACACATCTAATACTTTAATTTTTTTTTTCAATTGCTGCTTGCAGACCCATAACACAAGCTTCATACTAAGTCACATTAT